CCCTTGAAATGATTTTTTATGTACAACCATTATCAATCAAAAGATCACATACCTTGCCCTTTATAGTACATTTGGATTTGAATATCACATGGTGCTGAGACTTGACATCTTGATTGGGTGCGAGAAGTCATTTTTGAAGCACACATATAACCGGCTCGCCTTCATCTCATGCTATTTCCTCATACTCCTCTTCGTCTTTGGCATCTTCCTGTGTGGTGTTGTCTCGGACTCCCCTTCTAGGAGTTAAACTTGCTGCCGACTCGGGCATTCATTGGATTTTTGACCTGGTTGATAACACCTGAAACACTTCAGTGTTGTTGGTCAGCCGTATGGGTTCTCACAGGTAGGTGCCTTAAATTTATTTGGAGCCTTGTTGTCCCCCATTGGTGCAGATGGTGTTGTCACGGGTGAGCCTTTGGAGCTTGACTTGTAAAGGCTTGTATGAGGCAGTCATGGTGTCTGGGAGTCTACGGTAGAAGTATCAGCGAAGTGGCGTCGCTAGGAATGAATCCGGGCTGGCCGACTAAGTTGTATTTTAGCCTTTAGAGCAAAGTTTATTGCCTGAGATAGCGACCTTACAAAATTCAACTCCAACTTGTCTTGTATAGCCTCCTTCAAACCGCTGATGTAGCGAGCTACAATCTCATTAGTGATTTCATTTAAATTATTGCGGGAACAAAGGCGATAGAATTCCTCAGTGTAGTCGCTCACTCTATGATGGCCTTGTGCATAATGTTGGAACTTCATGTAGAGGATTTTCTCATAGTCCGTAGGCAAATAGTGGCTCCTTAATAGTTGTTTCATTCTCGCCCAATTCTGAACGTTGCCCCTGCCCTCTCGGTGTCGCGCTTGCAAAAATTGTTGCCACCACACGCTCGCACCTCCCCTTAATCGACATGCAACATACTTCACTTTCTTATCTATGAGAATATCCATGTACTCTAAGAATGTCTCCACTGATCATTCCAAATCCAGGAAATCCTCTATATGCAATTTTCCATAAAAAAAGGAAATATCCATTTTTACTAAAGGATATCCATTAAAAAATTGTAGTCCGCGTCATATAGGATGAGTGTTTTGCTATGAGTGAGGTAACACAATAAAAACTGTAAATATCCTTTAGAACTATATTCAGTAAGATAAGTAGTGGAAAATGGGACTCATAGTATGTAATTCCTGCAGTCCAAAAGAAGTGATTCCGCATCAAAAATACATGCATATAATCATGATAATTTCACTAAAAAGAATAACGTTGAATTCAATAATAAACTCGTTTATATGAATATAAAATTTTATAAGAAAAAACATTTATATGAATATATGTGTAAGAAAATTAATAAAATACTATACTTGTTATGTTTTTTTTCATTGACTTTACGGTACACTAATTCAAGAGAAAGGCATTCACATTAAATCTACATTTTAATTATTATTCACTAAGATGTTAAGGCATAATAACTTATATGAACTCTTTGAATAAATATTGCTTACAAAATGATTGGAACATGAATACATAAAATTCTCTACATGCAAACTAATAAAATAATTAGAGCATGAACTTGAGATAAAAAATATGGGTAGTCGAAGAAGAAAATCTTAAAATTAGGCTAATAATGACAGTATCAAAATAGAAGAAAAATAAAAATGAAGGTTCAAGTCGGTGAAAAAATATATATACATAAATAGGTACGTTAAGCGAATCCACACATTGTTCAAAGCCTCGGAATAAAAGGGGGAATAAAGATACTAATGAAATATTCAATTATTAATCATCCTTAATATAGCTGAAGCATTTTCATTATTTCCTTCCCTCAACAACAAACAATATAACCATATATCGCAGGTACAGCTCTGGGACAATGAATCTTGGAACAAAAAATATGGGTAGTTGGAGAAGCAAATCTTAACGTTCCGTCAAATTAAGGAGAATCAGGAGAAGAGAACGATAACTTCATCATTTGAGGAGAATCTCTAACATATATGTCCTGGCCATAGACATAAATGGAAGAATGATGAACGGTAGCTTCTCACGTTCTCTTTCTTGCCCAGACTACTGCAACTGTGAGAAAAATTGCTCAACAGCTACACTGTTGCTTTCATCTCCCTCTCGTGCATTCTTACTCGAGTTTGAAGGTCAGCGACGACGACAGCGACACCGGAGTCGGGATGGCGAGTCGTGAGATGAGTGTGGCCTGCATGTGAAGAGGAGGTCAGGGGCTTCTAGAGGCTACTACGTTTAGTAGAGGGCAGCCGGCGGCTGCTTGTCCACCCCGTGAGAACGAGCAAGGGAGGGATGACCGGATATTATTCACGGCTGCGTATGGGAATCAGAGAGGGGGAAAATTATTACATCCGGTGTCTAGATTCGTCCGAAAACCAATCCAGATGCATCACGTCACCCAAATACACCTGGGGCCCAGTGTATCCGATGTGGACCTCCGAAAAGACACCGCTAAGACTGCATGATTGCGGAGGGGTATACAACTGCACCTACCCCAGAGGATAGAGATGATCGCGGGCCTCCGCGCTCCTCGCCAACGGGCCGATGGGAGGGTATATTAGATCATGCATACGATTAACCATTGAGGATAGTGGCTCTCGCCAGCACACCTTGATGGGTAGTACTATACATGACCTGATCAAAATGGGTTTCCCCCACCCGATACATTAGCTCGGATGGGGTTTAGTAGATGGTGGAGTTCAATTTTCCACGGGTGCAAGCCCCCGTGATTAATTACATCCCAGGATGGAGCCCAAGAAGACTCTTGATTAAGGATCATACATTATCTTTTCTAAAGTGGGATTGGCACAAGGGTATAAACTAAGAATTCCTACTCAAAGGAAAGAAAGGCATCAAAGGTCTCAGTCAGCATGCGTGGTTCACACTAGCATTAAGAGGGACAAAGGTAGTGGAAGAAATCGGGGAAAAGAAATCATGCAGTCAACATCGTGTGACGCAAAATAAGTAGGATTTATAGTCCTTGAAGAGATGGGACCTACCCATTATTTAGGCATACTACGAGACTGAATTTAGTATCCTTGATTCCTAAATCTAAGTTGGGTTTAGTGTTCTACGAACAACACCAACACCCGTGTCCTAACTAATGCAGTGTAGAACCTGGACTTATCCTAGCCTGGATTGGGGAGCCAGCTAACCATCTAATTGATTTAAAACCATGTTGTCAGGTTGTTTTATTAAAGATAGATGGGCGGTATAGTTTCTGGAAGTAGGGCTAACTTCTAGAGAGTTTCCTAGTTGGCCCTGGACTTATGTTCGGTGAATGCCCCTAACTAATACAATTAAAATTTTATTTAATTAGTTGCTAATGTAATGCATGCTGGTTGAAGTTTCCAAAGCAGACATGCAAGATTTTAAAAATAGTCTTATAGAAAATAATTTTTAGAAAAGGCTGGGCCTCCTCATATTCAGCACTTCATCCTCATAGGCCAGATTATCCGGACTCTACCCGTAGGCGGGGAGGTGTCTTATTAGAAGGAGAGAGAGAAATACATTGACATGCATGCATCCCCGAATGATTCCGACAGTTCCTTAGATCATTAGGTTTTTATGTTATTTAAACCTTAAAATTTACATATTAGTTATGAGTAGAAAATTTTTTCTTCCTTAGAGAGCCTAACTAAATTCAGGCTAAAACAAAAATGGCATGCAAATTAACAATAAACTATAAAGAGTAAGTAACCCTAGAGGCAATCAATATAAATAAAACACATAAATATAATCAAACCAATTAATAAATTTCCATAGGCCAACTGCCCTTTAATTGAAACCCAGGGTATGTAGAAAATAAAGTGGCCGGGCACCACTGCCAACAACCCAAATTTTTAGGCCTAAGAATGATGCAAATGACTTTGAGTGGGATATTGGATCTTCAGGTCTTCAACTCATCAGTCTTCATTGAAATTCTTCTCCTTGAACTCCTTGGAACTCTCCTCCTTAGACTCCTTGGATCTCTCCTCCTTGGACTCCTTGGTGTTGCAAATCTATTTTTCATGTCTTATGTTTTGATGATTGACAAACAGTATTTCTCTTGGACTACTTGTTGCTTCTAACTTTTTAGGAATCGAAGATCGGACGATCAAGAAGAAGCCAGTTCAGGATTGCGTAGGTTT